ACAGCTCATACTCTACTGAATAGATACTCATACTCTACTGAATAGATACTCATACTCTACTGAATAGATACTCATACTCTATGGATAAATTTATCGGCGCACCTTGGCCGGATCAGCGAAGTTTATGGTCGCGTCTTGGACAATATCGGCGACGTTAGGGAGGCCATCTGATGGCCCGATGGCTACCATAGGAAGATCCTGTTTGTTGATGGCCATGGCCTTCTTGGCCACATCCAGTAGCGGCCCAAACACGACCACCATCTTAGCTCCGCTGTCCTTCAGCTGGTGAGCCACCTCGGCTGTTCACACAAAACTCAAAATAAGTTCAAATTTTTTGGTTTAAGTTTCCCAATTCGTCAGGGCAGTATGGGTAATGGGTCAGCCATAGTAACATTAAAAAATATAACTCAATACTCACTGCAGTGAGTGATAGAGAGCGCATTTTCTCGTCGACGAAAACGTGGAGTCACGGACGGACGGTTAGACAGACAGGCGGATGGACAGACGGACATGGCGAGCGCAATAGTGCATTTTTTCCATAAATGAGAAAATGCGCTAAAAATAGATCAGAGAATAAATTTTCCCAACATTAATATTTATTTTATTTAGTTATTCATTTTAAAAATATATATTTATTTATTTCTCTTATACAAAAATATAAAACCATTCCCATTTTTCTACGAAATAGTCACGTTATCGCATATGTAGTTTGCTCCTTGAGTGCATTGTGTCTTGATGTCAGGGAGAAGACTTGTGGCTGTGTGCACAACAATCATAGTGTTAACATGTGCACTAACATGCACAGTGTTAACATGTGCACTAACATGCACAGTGTTAACATGTGCACTAACATGCATAGTGTTTAGCATCGATGCTGATGGACAATGCGCGGAGGACTTCACTGAGGTCTAGTACAAGTAAATATTGTTTGTACAGCACAAGCTTATTCGTTATGTGCTCACTGGCAGTGTAGTTGGGATTAATGCCAGTGTAGACACACCCCACACTGATGGTACCAAACACCACCGCAGGATAGTCGACCATGTTGGGGCTGAACACCGCGACCACGCTGCCCCTCCCCAGACCCTTCGTCAGGAGGTAGCCGCCCCACCGAAACGCAGCGTCCTTCAGCGCCCCGAAGCTCACGAGGCGCCCCGAGTGGCTGCACACCTAGGGGGGGGGATTATGGTCGGTTTATGGGCGCCCCGAGTCGCTGCACACCTAGGGGGGGGATTATGGTCGGTTTATGGGCGCCCCGAGTCGCTGCACACCTGCGAGGGATTATGGTCGGGCTATAGGACCTGAGTCGCTGCACATCCATATCCCAAATTCCCAAACTTTTCCCCATAAATATCAATAATTAGAAATTCTCCAACTGCTATTGCGGTTTCTCCAGAGTTGCCCTCAAATCAAAATACGACCAAAATATTTTTCAACAACACTAAATTGTTTCTGAACAATGAACATAAAAAATGGCCAAAATGGATAATAATTCACAAAAAAATAAGTGAATAAATCATCGCAAGTATGCCATATTATTTAGCAGAAGGCAATACTCACGACGGCAGTTTGGTTTTCCCTGCCGCGTGCTCCGCCGATGACATACTCGGCGAAGTTGGTAGCGCTGTTGGGCGGCAAACTGAGTTTGTTGCGAATGATTACGTCCGCTGACGTCGCAATGCATCTGTTGACGCGACGGAAAGCGGACGTAAAATTAATGTATTCAATGTAAATATTATTCATTTAATATCGCAAACAGGTTTAATGAGAAAGTGAGAATTAAATTCTTCGGTGATTACCTCCGCTGACGTCGCAGTGCACCTGTTGACGCGACGGAAAGTAACTTCAACTGAAATTAATACGAAGTATCAATAATAAAGTAAAACAAATTGTCATCCCAGTGAAGTTCAGGCTGAATTTATATTATAAACATGACAGTTTATGCCTCGTATAAAGGGTTATTTCAATGTGCCTATCACAATTTCTTAGTCTTCATACAACAGGAAGGGGGTAGGGAGGTAGGATGTAAACAAAATCGAATTTTCTATTGTAATACAGTACATTGCAAAATTCATTCAAGATTCGAAACTAGTATAAAACGATAATTTTCTGGTAAATCTTCGTGTTGAACGAATTACCATTACTTAATAGCCTTCATCCGTTCGAGAATTTGAAACGGAGCTCTGTTTCAAATTATTATTGAAGGTCCGGGTCGGGTTATCAACATCGTGTTGGAATGTCTACATCCTATCGGGTTATCAACATCGTGTGTGGTTATCGCAAAGTCTAGGAACATCAGGAAGAATCGAGAGCCTAGATTTAATAACTGTGTAGAAGGAGGGCAATGCCTTATGTTGGTCTGATCAGGAACTGAATTCATTTGTTGATACTTCAAAATTTGGCCGCAGTTCGGGTACAAAATTTAATATTCACTCCACATTTGAAAACGAGAATGGAATAGAGGTTTGTATTTAGATTGAGAAAAGCAACAGGAATTTTAATTATGACCATACGGTATATTATCAAATGATGAATGAATCTATAACACATTCAGACTTATTAGTGCTGTATATCCCAGTAACCTCAGCGTAATAACTGCATGTGATTAATTACTGTAATTACATGCGACATGATTTTCTTAGTAACCGCTACGTAATTACTGTAATCAATTACTGAAATTAGACGCGTCATGATTATTGTAGTAACCTCCTTGCAATTACTGTAATTACACGCGTCATGATTATTGTAGTAACCTCCTTGCAATTACTGTAATTATAAGCGTCATGATTATTGTAGTAACCTCCTTGCAATTACTGTAATTACACGCGTCATGATTATTGTAGTAACCTCTTCACAATTACTGTAATTATAAGCGTCATGATTATTGTAGTAACCTCCTTGCAATTACTGTAATTATAAGCGTCATGATTATTGTAGTAACCTCCTTGCAATTACTGTAATTACACGCGTCATAATTATTGTAGTAACCTCCTTGCAATTACTGTAATTACACGCGTCATAATTATTGTAGTAACCTCCTTGCAATTACTGTAATTACAAGGGTCATAATTATTATTGAAGAGCATGACTCACCGCCCCACGTTCCCTAAGAAGGCGCACAGCCGCCGCCTCAGCAGCTGGCTACAGGCGACTGATAATCCTGCTGTCATGACGCGGTTAAATACGTAAAATAATACTTGACTTTTTATTAAAGATAATAAAAATTATTCAAAATTAAAACACAGATATTAGTTTTAATTAAATAGCGTTTATAAAAATATTAGTGATTAGATGCAATTGTATTAATGAACATAGTTAATTGGTATATGTTCGGTGGTTAATGCAACTGAAATGATGAGAAATAAAAAAAAATTAAAGTTAGCTAAATATACTACAAGGTTATTGATAGAAACTGAGCAATATTTAGAAAAATTTCTTGCTTCTTCGTGGAAACTCCGATGATTTTATCAGGAATAATAAGAGAAATCTAAAGTCTTTACGTCACTATATATAGGTGGACAAAATTTAATATTATCACAAATATTACTGAAAATTACCTAAATAATTAGGTGCTTATCTAATAATTAGGTGCCAAAATAATAAGTAAAATGCTTATTTGCCATTCAACTTATATTCAATAGTCGTTGATGGAGGAAGTCGTTAAAGCCGTCCTCCATCATTTTGTTGGCGTTCAAGTAAGATTTTTTTACGATATAATCAAGAAGTTATACGCCACTCATGGCGGGAGAATTCCCTCAACGATTTCTTGACGATCGCAGTTTACGATATGAGAGTCAATCTCGGCATCATGTATACGATCCCAAAAATAACTACGATACGACAAGGCAGCGATTTTGAACTGCAGCACTTCCTAATTTTCAGTTAATCATTTATGAAAATTAGCAGCGCTAAAATCTTAGGAATTAATATTAATGGGATACTGCGCAGAAACAGGGATACCTCGTTAAGATAGCGGGACATTAACTCGACAACAATTGATTACACATTGATTAAATATGACATTGTTTCGTTTTTCTTATCGTTGGACAAGATGAGTGAACCTGACAGGTGACCACAGAAGTGATACCACACCACTGGCGATAAGGGATAAATGTGCTAAATTTAATGTGAATAATTGTGTTTGATTCTGTGAAATAAATAACGAAATTATCTCCATATTTAGCACAATTTATTATGTTTAATTGAGGGATTTATGTTGAAGCATTTGAAAATTGTCCTTATGGCGATCTACAACTTGACGAAGAAATATCAAGCCCAAGGTTTTAAATTACAAGGAACACCTTCAATAATACATCAAAGTCTACGAGAAAAAACAGCAAGGTTTTTTTCTCGTAGCTTTCAAAAACGCCAGCTTTCAATGGTAGACAGTAAGTTAAATGCCGATTAATAAGCGAAATGTCGCAGCATTAGATGTCACTACGGAAACCATCGAAGTGCAAGATATTTGGACATTGGCCACAAATTAAATATAATATCATTTAGACGTAACTACCGTACATATTAAAGCGTATAACATAAAGACAGTGCGCACCACTAAATTCTAACGTTATTCACGCAATAATTTACATCTAATTAAGCATAAACCTAATTAGCCGAAACTTGAGTTTGTTACAGTAAAACCAGCCATTCTAGACTCACTAATACGACTAACTTCAAGCTATTTTTGCCACAACATTCTCCACTACACAAATGTCACTGCAACTCTAGGTCATTATAGACTTGACATTGGCCTCCCCAACGTCTAGCTCACATGCAAGCTTGACTAGGACTGAAGGTCGCACCTGTGAAGCAAACGTCCCGCACACTTGCCAAAAAACGCACTGTGCGGGCCAATACTGTTAGATATAAGAAAAATATAACTCGGTACTCACTGCAGTGAGTGACAGAGAGCGCATTTTCTCGTCCGTCCGTGAAGTCACGGACGGACGTCACGGACGGACGTCACGGACGGACATGACGAGCACAATGGCGCCTTTTTAGTGCATTTTCTCATTTATGGAAAAAATGCATTATTGTGCTCGTCATGTCCGTCCGTCTGCCTGTCCGTCCGTGACTTCACGTTTTCGTCGACGAGAAAATGCGCTGTCTGTCACTCACTGCTGTGAGTACTGAGTTATATTTTTTTCCATAAATGAAAAAATGCGCTAAAAAGACTGCATTAACCTTAAATAACAGACCCACAATCGTACCGCTAAACATAACGCCTATCCTAAAATTTATAGAAAATGCAGTAAACAGTGCGCATTCTTTACTCTGCATTAATTCCTACAGTGAATTTTGAGTTCGTACTTTCGTACATTAATATTGATTTCGATAACCATAATTTCGGATAACCATAATTTCAACATAGGATTAATAAGAAAGGATTAATACAAAAGTAAACAGAGCTAACGCCATGGTTGAACTAACACAAGGTTGACCCGCGGCGATGACGATTTTTCGCCGTTCTGCACATCTATAGAATGACGTCACTGTGGGCACAAAATGTAAATAGAGTAGATCAACACATTGTTTTTATGTCATCTTTGAAAGCATTTAAAAAAATTGACCTCATCAAAATGACAAAAAAAACATTTATTTACTGCATGCAAATAGTCTTATTTTTAAGCAAAACCGGTTTTACAAATCAGTTGACGTTTCGCGTGGGAAAACTTGTATTAGTTCAACCATGATAAAAATTGACCTCATTAAAATGACCCAACAAATTTATTTACTGCAACTAGTCTTATTTTAAGCAAAACAGGTGTTACGAATCAGTTTGAACCACTCTGTGACGTCACAAGGTGACGTCACAACGACCAAGGTGACATCACTGGTGGAATAACAAATGACATCCGCAAGGCGAAGCTGCGCGTGGGTCAACATTGTATTAGTTCAACCATGGTTAACGCAACCGCGTACCTCAGTGTTAGAATCACAATTTACAATGAAAAATGCTGTCATGAGGTCACGTGATTCAAGTATACTGAATACAGGATTGATACTTTCTTGAAACTTCTAGCACTTAATCTCTTTATGTCACCGCAATGCCATATACATACAGGATGAATGGACGTTTGGGCGTTTTTGCCGAGTACGAGAGCATTGATGTCATAGGCTAGAATGCTTCTGCCATGACCTTTCTTCATGGGAGCGCAGCCGTGCACCACCAATTTTGTCCACCAATAAGCCATTGAAGGCTACGTTCCGGAAGGCAGGAATCATGATGGTCCATTACATCCAGGGCAGTGGTGGTCTTCGGCAGGCGACCCCCTTCCATCAAGGCTACTGAATTACCGAATCTTTCAACTTGTGATGCAATTTTTCTCCCCAACGCCACTGGCAGCGCGGTTGTGCGAGAGTCGTGCATGCGAGGGCGAATTTTTCATCACTGGCAGCGCAATCAAATAAAAAATTAGGGGGAAATATATTGCATATTTTTTAGAAACGCTTAGCATAATTCGCGAAGAAATACTGGGTTGAATTCACAGGTTTCGGAGGGTTTAACGCATTTCATGACGTTTACTGTACTGATAACGAATGAACGCCCAATAAGCCGTATTGAACACCATGAACACAATGAATATTGTAATTCGTGATATATTCGACAGATTTTCTCCCCACGAACACTCAATATTATTTTGCCGCTTTCCCAAATCAAAATCGTTTAAAATTCCCTTTAAATTTTTCGAAGACTTTAAAATTCTCGAAGAACTCTTTGTATTGCCACCCATGTTCCCGATTTCCTGTCGTAGTTCACTTCGTTCAAAAAGTCTTGGGAAATTTACTGCTTCAACTTTTTTCGAGTTGCAACTGATTTTAGGCTCCAATACAATGCCGTCTTCCTTAGCCTGTTGAGTTCTGTCGACGAGGACGTGGAAAACTATAACTAAAAACGTCGAAAAAATGCAAAACAAAAGCCAAATGTCAACCATCTTGAAGTAGGAAGTGTTGGGAAGAGTTGCTGCCACCTGCCGATGAAAAATTTAATCAAGTACAATGTGCTTGTTTTCCTTGTTCTTCTAAACAGAAAAATTTTCGGCAATTGCTTAACAATCTACCATCCGCCAGCCTATATGAATATTCGAATATGTGCATTTTCGCCACAGAACTAGTTCAGCTTAAAATTATAGTGCTCAAGAATATACTTGAATGATTTAATTTGAAGTGTTGGTCACTGTCCCGCGAGAAATCAAGTCTAGCTAACCGCTGATTCAAGGAATTGGAAGGTTATCGAGAATAACTCGAGCGAAGTGCTACTCTCTTACTCTTAGACGTGTCATTCAAGGAAGAAAATCTCTTTTCCATTCGTGATCCGTGTTTTAAGAATTAATTTTCTATTTTAGTTTCTGAAACGACCGAATTAATATGATATGACTTTTTAGGTTTTCATTTCACTATCTTCTGCTTTCCAAATATAGTATTTCTGTTCTATGAATTTGATGCATCGCTTCTCAAAACCGCACGTACCCGATTTATTTGGCGGCTGCTTTTTGCCATATTAAATGTCTTAACACAATTACAAGAATGTTGATCATATAAAATCTAGTAGTGCAGCGGTGCATGACGGTTAAGAGCTCCCGAATAAGAGCTACCTATTTTAACTACAGCTACCAAAGCAAAATAAAAAGATCGTAGCCTATAGGCAGCTGTTTATTTGGAGATCGGTTGCTGACTCTAGGAAAGATGATCACATCACAAGGAGAATAGTCTACACGGTGCTGCAATGTCTACCTACGAGCGAGGATAGCATCCACGAGTGGTATGTTCTCCTTTGATGGATTACTAACCTGTGAGAAGAGGGTAGCCATCACTAAGAGGGTAGTGAGTGACGTCATGACGCGCGAGTCAAAAAAACGGCAACGGAAGAAGAGCGTCAAGATGCCAATGAGCAGCATCGTCAGCGAAGGTAGATAGATGTTGATGAAGGCGTATCCGTGACGCCGACTTAGCGGCACTAGTATCTAAGGCGAAATTTGACATTACAAAACAATGTAACTTAATCGCTCTGAGACATAAGCATCATAGTTTTTAGCCCTGCAGAATTTTCCGTACGGCCTCAAAGTAGTTAGACCCAGCATCGTGGAAGAAACTGCAATTTAACTCAACGACCCTTTTCTAAACTCGTCAAAAGGCAAACTTCACCTTGATCGTAGTTTGGTCATCGCCGACTGCCAGATCCACTTGGCCCACTCCATACTCCAGCAAGAGCGCACTGCCGTTGTATACGACGGTCGATGTTGAATTTTCGAAGTACGTAAAAGTACTTCCGCGTAATTTCATCAGCAGGAAGCAATTCTGGTGATCGAACGGATACAAACTCAAGTCCAAGTCGCACGTGAAAGAGGCTTGATATTGCCGGTGGCTCGTGATTGGATTGCTAGACCCTTCAAACACCTCCACTGAAACATAAGGTGGTGAGAGACTTTATGCTCAGGTAGAAAATATCAAATACGTTAATAAAATGGGAATAAACTTTACGTTATGCGGAAGATAGATTTGTTTAAGCTAGCCTTTCTAATCCTTGCTTACCTTCACCAGCAAAACTCGGGTGATAATTCAAAGATTTCTTTTCTCGATGGACGAACATGTTAGTTCTGTCATCAGAGATGGTCCCAGCGTGATTTAGGGTGTTGACGAATGCTACGTCCGGGCCCCACAAGGTACCGTTGGTGGGCAAAGTGTTGAGGGATCGGTCATGTTTCAAGTTAAAAAAAGTTACTCTTGAATCGTACCAAGTTAGGGTTAAGTTGAAAGTTGTATCGAGCAGCATGGCTCGTGTGTTGATGCTAAGGGTTTCTAGCTTGATGAGCGCCTCCACTCTCAGTTTTCCGTTGGAGTCCCGTGGAGCGACAGAGGTCTGCAAAAGTTTTTTGTCAGTCTTTTCTAAGCAGTAGCTTTCGATTGTACCGAATATGTAGAATATACAGCAGTTAAATTGATTTGTTCTTCCATGCCCGACAATAATAGGCTAGTTTCAATACCTTTGGAATTTATGCAAGTCATGACCCACCATCGCAATTCAAGCCTACATTCATATAATAAATTTCAGTTATCATTATTTCGTTCAAGGAATTGAGGACAATTTAGTAAGTTTGGAGACATAATTTGCATATAAACCCACGATAAAAATTATTAAAATACACATGCAATATTTTTCTGGAAGGCATTTTCATTTTTGCATGTAAGAAGCACCATATTCATCCAGCGCGCCTCAGTATGGTTTCCTTACACATACGTGACAACTCTTGACTAAATACGGCCATTTCCGGCATTTCAGTTCGTCATCGTGTCTCCTGGCTTGTGACTTAGTTTGTCAGGACGAAAACTATAGTCAGTTTGCCCAATCTATTATTCAGCCATTCGACGTACGAAAAGCTTTTATTATATTGTAAACATTGGCGAAGCCCCTGTTATTACTCGGCTCTGATGAACTGATGAAGTAAAATGTGCAAGTTGCTGTGTGGTGCCAAAAAAATGCTGGCAGGAAATAATTATATAATTCTATACTATAAATACATTATTATCTGGTGGCCATGATGCGTAATATGGAGTTCGTCGCACTGTTCCTCATCACTTTGGTAACGATAACAGGCCTATTGACTCCATTAATTACCTGATAGTCATGAGTAAGACGAAGCTTGTCGCACTGTTCCTCATCACTGTGGTCACAACAGACCATTAATTACCTGATAGTCATGAGTAAGACGAAGCTTGTCGCACTGTTCCTCATCACTGCGGTCACGAAAGGCCATTAGTTACCTGATAGTCATGAGTAAGGTGAAGCTTGTCGCACTGTTCCTCATCACTGTGGTCACGACAGGCCATTAATTACCTGATAGTCATGAGTAAGGTGAAGCTTGTCGCACTGTTCCTCATCACTGCGGTCACGAAAGCCATTAATTACCTGATAGTCATGAGTAAGACGAAGCTTGTCGCACTGTTCCTCATCACTGTGGTCACGACAGTCAAACTTGTGGTCACACCGCACCTCGAGCGGCACGCACGTCGCGTCGCTGCAGGAAAACTGAACGCCGTCCTCACAGCTGCTCAGAGAGAGCTGGCGGGTCCCTGCTTTCTGCCCGCACATTTCTACCGAAATTTCCCACTCTTGGCGACCTGTAAGGACGTTTAAAATGTACTTTCCAGCGGAAGATTTTAAACAAACTCTTGATTTTTTGTCAGGTCAAGTTATTTTTGTCATGTCGTATCTGAGTTACGTTACTAGTAGCCTATTGGGGTTCAAATAAATTGCTCCTACCTTGAACTCGTGTACATGACGCCACAGAGTCTTGGTTATCGATATTCACACGAGGTATAATTTTAATACTGTTTATGTGACATAGTTCATGATACGAATTTTACGATACCATCGGAGTGGCTATAAACGATCATCGTACTGGCTCAACTGACACCTCCGTAAATGATTAAGGTTTAATTGCCCTGGAGATATGCTGACCCAGAATCTCATGACGAACTAAGTTTGAGTGACCCAACGAACAGTCTTAGCGGCCCAATGAACTGACGTGAACGAATCTTTCTCAATGATAATGAGGGCTGCTGATGAACTTATGAGGATATATAAGTTTAGCTTTCTACAATCTAAAACCGCATAGTAAAATCTATATACTTTCTACATTTTAAAACCGCATAGTATAAATGTATTTCAACTCACCGATTGGAAGCTGGAACTTCGAGAACCTCAAGGTTGCCTGCACGTGCCCCGTCGTTGTCTTTACCCATCGCCAAGTCTCGCTCTTCCCGTCCCAATTAATGATGAAATCCCCATACCCGACGAACTCCCAGAGGGCAGGGGACGAAGAACCACTCGAGGATCCAGTCATAGACCCTAAGAGGAAGCGTTGATCGTGGGGGGAAGACTGACACGATCCTCGTAGAGACCAGGGTCGTCCCACTTTTGCTTGGCAGAACCCACATCTGGGAGAGATATGTAATCGAAAGTTTTAGGCAAATCAAGGCTATAATATCGTAGTTTTGACGAGGTAACTCCAACATTTTCGCTAAATAGAATCATTCAAATATCTGTAGTCCTTACACTTGGTGCGTTCAGTATCAATTGTGTACACAGAAGCGTAACATTAAGACAGTTTTCAAATGCCTGTTATAATAATTATTTATGCATAGTTTCAAACATTAGATTATCTCATGCTAGATAGTCACTGTTTAAAATCACAAACGTGTAGCCAACTTGCCGTTTCGCCTGACAGTCGTCGTCAGCTACGCCCTGGGCGTCGAGGGCTCCGCAGTTCTCGAAATGCATCCCATTTGGTTCATCGGGAGCCCACGGCACATTTTTCATAGCTGACCCATTCTGGTGATTAATCCATGATCCTTCTTCAATAAAATCCCAAACTCCAGTCCAAAATGTGGTGCAATTTGAACTTCTCATGGTGGACTCGACCATCCGTTTTGCGTGATCATGGCTTGTCGGAGTCAAGAGAGTTCCGCCTAATCCTTCGCAGACGTACGCGCTCTCCACGAAGTTCATTGGGGGTAACAATTGCGTTGTCGAAAACGACGAGTTTCGACACAGGGAACCTAAATCTGTCTCGAATTTTCTCGAGTTGGTTTGGACACTAAATTGTGTCCAGTTTCGTTCCCAAGAAACTTCGTCCCCCGTTACATCTTCTTGACATCCAGAGATTTTAGAAATCTCACTTTGTTGCAAAACCCTTCGCCACACGTTCAACTGAGTAACGTTGCCGATGAATGTTAACCCAGGGTAGAATTTTGGATCTAAAAACCCGACTGTCAGCTCGCCAATCATTTCAGTGATGTTTAGTTTTAGTGAAAGGTTTTCGATTAGATTTGCATTTAAGTAGAATTTCAGTGACGAATGTTGACGATTAATGCAGAAGTGGTACCATTGGTGAGGTACCAACCATTCGTCAAGCATCACATACCGGTACTCTCCTGCCACCACTATGCGGAAGCGGTCCACGTTTACCTCTTGAGAATAAATTAATGGGAAGAATTTCAGAGAAAATCTGAAATTTTCAGTAAGTAAAGAAAAACTTTCTTTCCACGGTAACATTATGCATTTTTCATTCGACCACAAGATACAAAAATTAATTCCAACACAAGAGCACTTGGTAATACATTTCATTAGGAAGTTTGACGGGGCCTTATTTTGAATTTCATTGACGCGGTGCAAGCTCCAAAATATGTTGTTACGTTCAAATAACTTTGAATCAATAACACTAACATTGTTTTCATTGTGATGATGTGTACGTCAGGAGGTAAGCGGTTGCTAGGCACTCCTTTTACAATTAAATTTTGTGATTTTTTACGCTAATTTGAAGTGACTGATTTCTGTTCCTATTTAATCTTATGTCAGTTATTTCTACTGACAAAATAAATCAAAAGTAAATTTACTCCAGAAGAAATAATAACTTGTCAAATTTCCTGCACGTATTGCTCGTTGTCAATCAAAAATTATTATTTATTTATTGACAAGAGAAATAGTAGTTAATTTCTTACGAATTTGCAGAGCTGGACGCTCGTTAGGCGCCTGCACGTTGAGCAGAATGTTGAGGGATCGAAGACGTGCGAACTGGAACCTGTGGGGGGCGCATCGAGAACACTGAACAGGAAAGTACAGCGTGAACACTGAACAGGGGAGGACAGCGTGAACACTCAACAGGGGAGGACAGCGTGAACACTCAACAGGGGAGATATTGATTTCTAAATGCACATGAGGTTATGAATCACTTTCGTCAGTAATAAGTTGACCGTGTAACAGGTTAACGGTTACAGTGGAAAAAAATTACTACGCGATAGCTAAGCCGTTGCTACGTCATTGGCGAGCAGTTACTGCACTATAGTTGAGCAGTTTATTTATTTACCACTTTGAAGTTAACATCATGTTGACAGTTTACTACAAGGAGGCTGGTGTTTTCAGCTGCTGGTATTTTGGATCTGACAAAATAAGATAACCAAAACAGAGAGTGTTTTTCTTATACAAACAATTTCTTACAAACTTACTTGAATCCTTCAAGTACATACAAATACATTAACAAGTATTTATAAGTACATTAATATATACTTGAATGTTTTTGATTTATACATTAACAACGCCAGTTGTACACACATGGTCGGTACCTATGAATAGACACTTTAGGTATATAAAAGTTAACATTCTTTTACAAATTAGTTAGTTTTCCTTTAAATGATTATATTGAAAAAGGTCTACAACTCAGTTCATTGTATCCTCGTCAGACGTAAACGATATTATAGCTATTTTAATTATAGGAAATTTACAGTTAACTGTGTGTTATGATAGCTGAAACTGAAGTGTTAATAGTTATATAAGCTGGGGATTAGCTTTTAAATATAAGAAATTAACAGAAAACTGCGTGGGAGATCAGTTGTTAATTATAGATGGCTAACATTTAAATGCGTGGGAGATGAGCTGTTAATTATAAAAGGCTAACAGTTAACTGCGTGCGCGATCAGCTGTTAAGTTATTGGATTTGGATAATAGAAAACTTCGTGGGAGATTAGCTGTTAACTGGAAGGAGATTTAGAGTTCAATAGTTAACAGACTAGCCCAAGGCGAGCCTGCCGAGTCTGATATTCAATGCAGGATTCTCTTCTATTATGCGCATGTTATCTATTTATAAAAAGTTCTTTCATATATATGATTGTTTCTGCTCGTTTTGTGATTGTCTAATTTTCTTGTTAAAGATATCATCATTTGTCAGAATTAAATAATTTACAGACCTTATTTGATAATAATAATTTACAGGCCTTAATAATTTACATTAGTTAATAATAACTAATACCTCAATTCACGAATTGGTTCTAAATTTCATTGATATAATTTCATGAATTTATTCGCAAATTTTTCTCTGGCAGACTGAAATATTTTATTGAGAATTTTTAATTATGAAAATTTTTTGCTCACCTGAGTTCACGACGGCAAATACGCCGACGATGCAAGATATTCTCGGCAGCAAAACCCCGTTTTGTGAACGCATTTGGGTGCAGAACATCCTTTTTGGTTGCACAAGATTTACATTCAACTATTGACTGTAACCGACGAGCTGCCTTCACCGTTTAACCTCGAGTGATTATCGTTAACCAACTGATTCGATTTGCAGCAACTTTGACCGATTTATATGCAAGCCAAATTTTAGCAGCTAAAAAGTTATTTCAGTGATTTATTTTGAAGATTTTATTAATTTGTAATACAAGAACTTGAACTTGCAGTAAATATAATGGTTTGAGTGTAGAATTCTGGTGCGATAGTTAAATTAACATTTAAGCTGACTCGTAGCATAGGAATAATATTTGAGAATCGGTCAGAGATGATGCGCTAGAAACAACAGGTATTGGTTATTTTTATTCAGCTGAATACTAAAGATTTCACTAACATGTGGCATCAGGATCAAAATATTACCCTGCACAAAACTACAAAGATTACCAAGCTTCTGCCTCACGTCGCTTTTATATGAGCTTGGCATTGAACGATTTCGGTTTACAGATTCCAAAGAATTGCTGAATTACGGGAGAGATAGCAAGCCATTCGTCTCCCGGCCACAATCATCCTTGCATTAGGAGACCCACTCGAAGAAGCCATTTCGTGTGCTTATAGGCATGCGGAATGACAATTTTTAGAATGGCATTTGCACGGAATGACAAAATGGCAAGGGAAAGGCAATTTGCATCTAAACGCATACCTGGAGAAATCGGGGCAATCATGCATGACGAGGTGGTGCTTTGTACGAAAAGAATACAGTGAGGTATCACTAGTATGTAATTCATTTATTATTCTATGAAAATATAACATCGTACTTAGAATGACATTTATTGCGGGTTATTCATCTAGGTTATGAAACCATATAGGTTTAAAAATGTAATTAGTTGTGATTAAATTGTCATTGGAATCAGAACATTAATTGTCATATGAGTCAGAATATTATGCAACATCCAATTTATTTTATTTCGGTAAACAAAATCAATGAAGATTATTGCAAAGAAGTAACATGATCCAGATAATTCCGTTAAAGATGTTCCTCAAGATACAGTTCTGAGAGTACGCGTCCATCGGAACGAAAAGTTGAAATCGCCGCCAGCAATTGCACGTCAATAATGTTGATCTATTGATGAATGAAGGCAATTTGTCTAATGACGTCATCATTGAATCGTTCGATCGCTCTGAAATTGAAGAATCAATTGTGAAAATGGAGCGTGTCAGTTTCATGATTATCTGTCATGAGAGAAGATTACCTAGCAATCATCAGAAAACGCTTTCATCAGCCTATCCATACAAGGACAGGCGGATTAAAATGTTCTTCTATCGTTTATTTGAAATGCATGAGAAGTATTCTCGCTGGAAAAAATACAACTTTATTTGTTACTTTCCCAACAACAATGGAAAAATTTGAATATCTTTCTTGAATGTAATGAATTTTCGGACTCTGGAAATTTTGAAGTTAAACACGCTATTATGTTCTGAAATATTGACACCTGTTTGCACGTTTCAACTTAACTCCGTTCAAAACTGTCTAAGAAAGAAAAACTTATATCCACTTACACTATAATTCAACATTGGTTCGAGGTACAAATTTGCTGTCCAACATTCGTTGGAGCTCGCTGAGGTCTTATTGCCAGAGAAAGAGAACAATGAATTTAAAATCATTGCATGCATTAGAATCAATAATAAACTCGTGTTCGACTTGATGGAGGCGTCCAAGAAAAATGACTGATTTATGCGAGTTTTCATTCCTTGTCTTTGGTTGTACTGTGAAAATAATTTTCTCATACATGAATGCATGATATATAATTTATTTGAATAAATATAATATTGATGTGAATATCTATTCATAAATTTCGGATGTGCTTCACAGCAATTTAAATGTTTTCAATGTCACATATTCACCACTACATGCAATGATACTTATAGTTTTCCTGAGCATGATTCAGTATATGTATTTTTATGACGTCAGTGAAGTTTGTTTCTAGTATCCGTATTTATTATTCCTAGAGAATATAATACGTTTGGTTTTGGCTATAAGCTCGGTAAAAAATTGCCGCAAATTCGTTTGCCGCAAAAAAAAAAAACTCTTGCCGCAAAATTCGTTTTTTTATTAATATTCTTCATTAGTAGATACATTGAAGCAATCAGCTGAAGTATTCATTGCTGTAAAATTCGACATTTATATGAATATCACAAATTAGTTAATGGATTGAAACAATCGTTTTTCACAGTTTTGCCTGATGAAACTGACCCTGTGTTCTGATCAAAAGCCATATATTTAGAATTGAGAATTCACGGATAGACGGCCAGACAGACAGACAGACGGACGTACGGACGGACATGACGAGCACAATATATAGCGCCTTTTTTTATAAATGAGAAAATGCGCTAAAACGAGTATATACGGAGCTTTATCTTGAAGTTTAGTAAAATACTTTCGTATGATTCCAACTCTAAAGTATAAGTGAATTCTTTTTAATGTCTGTGTAGGATAGATTATTCGGATTCAATCCTCGCAATGCTTCGGCTAGAATCTATTGAGATATTGAGATCATTCGATTCAGTCGCACCTTCAATATAATCTCACTAATTCTGTGATGTTTCTCTGTAGTTGCTACCCACTACCTTACCTATGACCTCTTATGGCAAAAGTAAAATAAATAAACACGTAGATTAAAAGTACATGAACAGAACAAAACGTTCTTTTGTATCTGATTGTTTTATTTAAATGAAAATTCTTGATAAGAGACATATTTTTAGCCTTCTTTACCCAATCGTGCTGAAGGCGGCCAGCACCTCGTAGGGTCCCTAACAAAATTTAGAGCCGAGGGCGGCTCTGGATTAAGGAACGCCTAGGACTCGGGGAACATATATAGTCCACCAGCTTCCCTATATGTCCGCTTTTCGGTCTACATTCCGGTCCCCGAATCAGACAGCTGCAAGCGCCTGGTACTTATTCTGCCAACTCTTGCCCTACTCTCAGGAGACTATAAAGTCGGCAAGGAGGTTCTGACTAGTCGCTGATTGCGATCAGTTGGCCAACTGACCCAGAATGATCGCGAACTTAGTAACTCTGGGGCGGAGGCTGAATCATACCCCGAATTTTGTTAGGGGTAGGAACCCACCTGATAAGGCTCCTTACATGATCAGGGCAGGGATTGATTCTGCTTATTCAATTAGCAAATAATGAATATAAAATGTCATTCATTTTTCATTGAATAGCCTTGAATGCGTTTCTCATGAGTTCACGACACCCTTCGGTTCTGAATATGCATTTCGCCATCCGCAGAATGTTGTTTGCTAATAACAATATTTTATAATAAATTATTGCATTGATTCATAGTTTATTCACGTTGCTTTTGTATGATATAAAATTTATCCCAAATCAAAGAACGTTTGTTTTATTCTCGTAAGTTGTGATTGTGCTGTTATTGTTCTCAATATGGGACACAAGGCACAAACGGATTTTTTTTATAGCGACAACATCCCAACAGGGCAAAAGATCCGATATTATTTTATATTGGTTTAGGGTCTGGTTTTAGTGCCCAAAGATTTATCGGATGCAATGACTAACCTTTGGAAGGAAGATCGAATTGCATATATTATATACCGCAAACGAGATTCTAAGATAAACAATTATCTCAATATTCATGCAGTCATTTAGTTCTTTACGAATTTAAAATGTAATTTTCATGCAATCTCTTTACTCCAAATTCCACTTGACATATTGTACATGAAATCAAATATCCGATTCGATATCGTGTAATTACCGATACCGTCTGACGAACTACAATTCGTACGGTTTACCGTGAATTTATCACGGTAACCAGAGCACATAAGAATTGAAATGAAACTCTGCTTTCATATTTGAAAATATACTAATGAAACAAGTGTACACATAAACCTGAGCAATTTCGGAAAAAAACTTGGACAGTTCAATTCCTCCAAGATAAAGACACTTCACTCATGATACTTACTAGGGTTCTACATATTGTCGTGCCAGTCACTTCAGAAGCGCTACTGTCAAATCCGCATAGTCAGAGCCTCCGAGGCCGTCAATACTAGATGAGAGAACGGTAATTTTTATTCTAAACTATACTATATATTGCGATGGCTGGTGATGCATTAAATGCACGCTCGCTGAAACGAAAGTGGTATCGTGACGCTGACTTGTCTGAGTTTAACCAGCATGCGTTATATATTGAGCCTCATGCAAGGTCCTCTTTGCCCACTCTTCACAGTAGAATAATTTTCAATTCTCTTGATTCTTTGCGGCACCCTTTCTTGCACATTATCTTCCCTCAAGTAAGACTGTTATGTACTAGTAAAACCAAATATCAAATCGTGCTCGGAGTTGAATTTTCACTTCCAGACTAACCAATTCGTACCTGATCCGGTGTTGCGGTGCTGATGATCCGGTGATCAGGTGCTGATGCACCTGATCCGGTGCATCAGCGTGTCCACTAACGGTGTCTTCTACGGCATCTAGTCTCTCAAACTCGCTGCCGAGCCTTTGTCTTAGCTTTGTTATTTACTAATGTTTATTTAATCTAAATTTCTAAATTCGTACTTTAAACTGAAACTCAACACTCAATGGAGTAATATTTAGCTTTGTCTTCGTTAATAATGCAATATTCATTATTTTTCTGTATTGCTAGATTTTTCAGCTGGGGTTTGGCTCAAATATCCCCAGTCCTGCTTGATGAGGTCGGAGGCTTTCTCAGCAATGACGTAAACGCTGGCCATGGGGTTGGTGGAGACCACGCGGGGCATCACCGACGCGTCCACCACTCGCAGGCCTGACACTCCGCGGACACTGGGAGGTGGAGAGCATCTTCGTGAGAATTGATTCAAAATATTAACATGTATAAACTCTATTCGTGTTACTTTTGGGTTGATATTGCACAAAAAGGACATGGCTGGACAAGAAGATACATAGCTGGAAAAAAAGGAGATTCTCTCACTTGATGAGAGAGTATCTCATCGTATTAATATATAATTTGAGTCTACCACGCAAATGAAAAATATTCTGTTCGCAGAAGAGAACATTTAAATAATAGATAGGCGTAGATTGATTGATTCACCTGAGACTTGGAGACACAACACCCATAGAGTCGGTCTTCGGGGCCATTTTCGCGGTGCAGCAGAAATGCTCGCTAGGCAGCGCGATGTGGCGCACGTAACATTCCCAGTAGGTGTCGGTGTTGTTGCCTAAATGCGCACACGCTTTCATCGTCTGCGAAACGTAAGAAATGAATCACCATCTTTGTAATAAAATCACGACCAGTTCGTTTAGTACAATGAATCATAGATTCGACGATCATGGCAAGCTTCAGTTGTTGTAACTATGAGGAGTTACCATCAGCTTTCAGAATATTATGATGGAACGTAAGGAAAATGCAGAAATTACCACTCGAACATTCGGAACGTAAACAAACTGAATACTAGAAAAGTGAATGAATACTCATCTTACAAGATGTAAGATGAGTACATTTCACATCCCAAAATAATTAGATGAATCTTATTATGTGTATTATATATGTAATATCAAAATTTGATGCGTTGATCAAGTTTGATTTCAATGTCAATTAAAAAAAATATTAGGCGCTGACTGGCCAAGACTCCTTTGTTTGATCTACCATCGCTCACCAAATCCGGCTGTGGGTCTGCTCGTATTCTTTTCATGGCTTTTGAGTCCATGATGCGCTGCAATGCTCTTACAGCTGTAAAAGCAAATAAAACAATACTATAAAGTAATGATTCCATAATAAATAAAACAATATAATAAAGCAAATAATGTAAATGTGTTCTTGTCAGGTTTAGACGAGTCAGCTTTCGATCGTAGTTATTCAGAAGTCAGTTATCAACGGTAGTGCAACATTGGATACCAACACTTAATCCCATGCAGGCCTTTGCGCTCGAGATTCATGGGCGAAGAAGGCGACATGCTTATAGTGCTCGTCTCACTAGCCTCAGCAAATAGTGACAGAGAAATTGCTCAATTGTTCTCGATGAAAACTAATGAATGATGAAATCCCGTCTCGATAAGGTTAGTTCAAATTTTTGCAAACATTTTAAATAATTTGTTAATAGCCATTGAAGTGGGTTCGATGTTAACAGGTTTTGAAATACACGAAGAAGAGGTTCCAAGCTCCTGGTCGCTCTGAATCCCAAAAAGTCATGTGGACCTAACGGCTTCCATCCCAGATTGCTCAAAGAATTAGCAACCGTCCTGGCCAGCCCTTTGACAGTATTCGTTAAAAAACCTTGAACGAAGGAACTTTGCCGACCGATTGGAAAGAAGCTCAAGTAACACCATTGTTCAAAAAAAAAAAAGGTGACAAGAGTAGGCCCGGTAACGATCGTCCAGTCAATCTGAAAAGTGTTGATTGTAAGGTATAATGGAATCTGTTGTGAGGAATAGGGTTATCGATCACTTGACTGTTCACCATCTCCTATCAGACTGTCAACATGGCTTTATTGCCGGTAGATCCTGCACCACAACTTCTTGTCTCCGTAGAACGATTGGAATCGCCTGCTGGACGAAAGGGAGCCAGTGGTTGCAGTGTACTTCGATTTTGCCAAAGCATTTGACAGTGTTCCGCATGAGCGGTTTTTGCGTAAAATGAAATATTTGGGAATAGAGGGAAACGTACTCCAATAGATCAGAGATTTTATAGTAGGTAGACGACAACGTGTCAGCATTAACGGAACCGTGTCAGACTGGGCATCAGTGCGCAGTGGCGTGCAAAAAGGAAGCGTTCTTGGGCCTATTTTGTTCGTTGCTTTTATATAAACGATCTGCCAGAAGCAGTGTCCAGCGTGTGCTGCATGCATGCCAACGACACAGAATTTTAGAGTACAGTTAAGGATGCGACAAACAAAATGCAAATGCAAGATGGTCTTGACAGTTTAGTTGACTGGGGTGATGCGTGGCAACTGCATTTTTATGCTGACAAGTGTAGAATACTCCTCCTCGGGAAGAACAATGAACAGCAAGATTACAGTATGAGAAGACATAGTTGCAACGAGAGAATAAGGATTGGAAAGTCTAGAGTCGAAAATTTTTTTAGAGTTTAACTCGAAAAGAAGCTGAAAGTTTCTAGCAAAATTTAAACACATGTTTATAAATTCAATAAACTCCTTGGACTGATCAGACGCTTGTGCGAATTCCTAGAGGCAGAAGCCATGCAGCTGTTGTTATAGTCGCTGTCGGGCGCACCAACATAGGGTTTGGAAACGCCGTGCGGTCACCGAAACTTGAAATGGACAGAAATTTACTAGAGAGTGATCAAGGATGTGCAACAAGGATAATTCCAGCCTTATGAAGAAAGATTAGAGATTATGAAGCTTTCCAGTCTTTGTTATCGACGTCTACGTGGTGGCCTCATTTAGGTATACAAGTGTACTCATGGTTTATGCAAGGTCCAAAAGGATTACTAGAATTTGGAACAAGAACCAACACCAGGAGCCACGGCTAAAAACGAAAAAAACTGCGTTGTAACACATCCATGCGACAACATTTCTCTCTTCGAGTCACCGACAGGTGGAGTAACAAACTCCCTGGTTACATCTCTGACGCACCGAGTATGAACGTGTTCAAGAACAGACTTGATAAATCTATGGAGAAATATATGTTCAGACTTGAATTGCCTAGCACCAAACGAATCTGGTGAGAGTCTAATATCTATTTCAAACTATCGTCAATTTTGAAAAGATCCGGTCATAGGACCAGTATTCAGATCTGTGAACAAGTCACGAAAAGGACGAGAATCGGCGACAAGCCACATCATGCCTACTCTTCAGCGCCGACAGCACTATGATATGATATGATATGATATGATATGATATGATATGATATGATATGATATGATATGATATGATATGATATGATATGATATGATATGATATGACATGATATTATATGTAATGATATGATATGATAATATTTTTAGGCAACGGTTGTAGACAAAACTAATTATTTTCTAATTATGAGAGAGATAATGTTCTACAGATATCGAAAGGTCGAAAGTATATTACGGTTAAGATGATGATGTTGCTTAAATTTGAGATAAGGATTTTCAAACTGTCGTATCTATCACGCTCGATTTGTTGATTTCCTCACTCTCTGCATCTTGTTGAACGTCTATCCACTTTCATGCTCGTCTCGGTATAGTTACCCCGTTTTTCATTAAGCATCTCAACACGCAACGCAAAATTGTTTGGTGTAATTTCAATATATTATGCGGTGACGTCACTGGAATATTTACCTTTGACGTGCAGTTTGAGGTCGTCTGGATGATCGTAGACATTGTGGTGAATTGCAGGAAGATCGGCGGGATCTAGAGATGCAAGGGCAACGTGACCTCTGCTCTTAGGGCGGCAGAGCATTACCCCCATGGCCATCACAGGCTCGTTGAATAGCGGACCAATAACTTGGGAATTAATCTTCAAGGACAGAAAAATTTATTACAGACTGTATATAACAGATTACTCTAATTTATTGTTATTTACGAGTTTGTTTTTTTCCAGGGGCTGACTTTATGCTATTAGTGATACTTTGGATACTTTCAGGTTTAGATTATAATAAAACATAATAAAACACATTATAATTATTTCACCATCTCTCTGCCCCAATATTATTAAATGATGGCATTCTATATATAGCAAGGTCTATGATACAAGCCTAAACAGCGAACGGGTCTTAGAGACTGACTAACTGTCCGTCCGAGAAGTAGCGGCTAAATCAATAGCGACTAACAACTAGCATTAATAATCATGAAAAATAGTATCAATTATAAATTCCCATAGAAATTTTAGACTGCAAGTTTATGATGATGCAATTTAATTAGCTGAGTAATAGTGAAGTTAACCGGGGTTAACCTTATGAGTATAATACATATTTATACATATGAGTATAATATATAATGATGAGTATAATGTATATGAGTATAATATATGAGTATAATGTATAATATAATACATATGAGTATAATAAATATTTCTAATGAAGAAACATTTATCATACTATCTACGCCATTGGATCCACCAACTCGTCTACGCACAGATGGGTTCGCGACTGATTATTATATCATCGCGTTATAGCATCAACAACAGAATTGGTACTTTCAAGTTAAAGCATCGCACTCTACTTGTGATCGCTACAAACATTTTTCCATTGAGCAAAAACTGTTTGAATGAAGTTAGGGAAATGTAGTTGAAGTCGTTGGACGAACCTCATCAGTGATGAATGGGTTTTCAAAACCGATCAGAGCTGACATGTACAAGTCGGCATCAGGCCAACGAGGATTTTCACCGCCGAGGTATAGGTAGGTGTGGAACAGCGGGCCTTGGGGCATCGAATAGAAACCTGGTGGAAAACGCAACAACTAAATATACGATTTTACTGTGGCAAATTTCCAACGTTTAAAGTTTTGGCTGGAAATCTTTTCTGGTATTATGTGATTTAGTAGTTCATTGATGTCTCTGGCTGTTTACAAGTTACTGACGTGTCTGTGGTACATGAACAAATTGCTACAGGGATCGACTTTTCGAAAGAAAAATGTTTTATACATTATCATCTATTGCCCATGTCCTCGCCCATGAGAGCCTTATTTTCACGTTCAATACATTTATGCATTATAGATTTCATATTTCTTACAAGCGTATGTTCTTCATTTACATTTTTTGAGCCGCCGCATATAGTTTTTTTCCAAAAGTCTAGTTCACGTGGTCAATTTATCGTCATTATTGGGAAAATTTTTAGTTTATTTGCACTTGTATGACCTTAAAGCAGCAATAGCATAGTCAATTTTGTTGGCACTTCCAACCATAGCCATTAGAGAACGACAGCGCTCGCTTTAACAATAAAACAGAAACCACCTGCATGTTTCCACTAGCATCACAACTCTCGAACTCGAACATCCAAACCCAAAAACATGATCCATTATCTGTTATACAAATTTAATCACTCCATCTTCGCTGGTTATCTCCCCGATTCACTAAAACACGCCATTGTGATCTTCCTCCCTGAGCTTTCCACCCCACAGATCCAAGGGCTCATCCACCCACCGATTTTTCACAAGTCCAAAACTACACACCAAGTTCACAAGTAAACATACACGGGAAGCTCTCAGATAAAATATTAAACAACAGATTATACGTACCAACACTTCACCACCCGCAACATGCACAACTCCAAACACTCACAGCGCGTAAGTCACATTCCACGCAACACTCGCAATACACTTAGTACCAAGATTACTTACATATGTCGCGCCAAAATCGCAAAATTACCGATTCTATGGATTCACAGATACAGATTCGTGCAGTTTGCCAAATATGTAGAATCAGTATTTCCATACTATAGGAATCTTTGGTTAGATCAGTCAGCCTATTTTTTTTTCTAATGTTTAAATATAAAGGAACTTGACCGAACTTGTCCTAAATTTTTCTAACTCTAACAGTCGATTTATGATCTAACTCTGACTCTAACGTCCGATTTTCTGAATCAGCAACGAAATGCTGATTCTACAGATTCGGCAAACTGGTTGCCGATTCCATAGGATCGGAAATTCAACGATTTCAGCACGACACATATACCACGTACATAGTGCGCCGCGATGTAAACAAAGACTTGGATAAGGTAAGACTTGGATTTATAAAACCCAAGGTATATAGGATGGATGCAAGATATAGGATGCAGGTTGTACCCCGAATAAGGGGCTTGCCTCTTTTCTACTCTATACAGCCAATACGACCTCCCACCACCACTTAATAAGATAGACTAAATAGCATTTGCAGACGACACCATCGCAAATAGCCTCCGGACACTACACAGAGCTGAAAACATATTCGAAAACAGAAGGCAAATTAAGACCAATGGTACAAAATTAAAAATAATCCCATTACTAGATAAAAAAAACATGACATATTCATCGGCAACACCCACTACCCATACGTACACAAACAACGAAGCAGTCTTAGGATTGAAATTTACATCACACGGTTCAAGTCCCCAAATAACAGCAAGGAGAGCAATTGCCCTCAGAAATTTACACAAAATATACAGATTCTACCACCTCCCACCCAACTAACATCCTCTTTATGGCCAATCTGTGTCATCTCATTTTCTTTTCCGTACTTTTCTAGTGTCACCGCAAGACCAGACGCCGCAAGACCAGACACCGCAAGACCAGACACCGCAAGACCAGACACCGCAAGACCAGACACCGCAAGTCCAGACACCGCAAGTCCAGACACCGCAAGACCAGACACCGCAAGACCAGACACCGCAAGACCAGACACCGCAAGTCCAG